CCCCCCCCCCCCCCCCCCAGGTACCCTGCTCCTCACCCATCTCCTCCTGGATGGAGTACGGCTTCCTGATGCGAGTGATGGGCTCCAGGAGGCCACGCTGACTTTTTGTCTTCGTTATGACCAGACCCCTCATTTCATCCCCCAAGTATTCCAGTCGACTCCAGAACCCACTGGACTCCTCAGAGCACTGGCAAGGATGGGCAGACAAGTCAGGTCACCTGGACACCTTGGCGGGGGGCTGGTGGGGGGCCCGGGAGACAGGGGCACCGTGGACGACAGACGCTCGCTCTGGGGGTTCGCTGCAGCCAGGAGAGCGGGAGAAGCAAGCGCTTTCTTGTTCTCAGGACGCCCTTCGATAGCCTTTTCCTGGCCCCAGACAGCGTGGGTGGCACAGACACTGCACTCACACGCCAGACACAACAGGGGACCCTGGATCGTCCAGAAGCTGGGGCCTCGGCCTTTGAGAGGGAACACTAAGACAGTTCTAATAACTCAGGACCTGTGCTGTCTTGCTCCTCACATTCACCACCACGGACCACCACAGGCTGGATTAGGTAACTGACCAGTCCCTGAACGCCCAATAATAGGACCAATAATGTCATTTTACTAAAGGCCTTGAGGGCTTAACACGGCTTTGCAGTGGATAGATTTGTTACGTTCCCCCGCTGTGCACGCCCCGGCAGCCATCCGTGTCCAGACCTCCTCCTCACGGGGCACGCGGGAGCGCCGTCCTTACCTTCCCATCGTGCTGCGTGGGCAAGATTCGGTCGATGACCGCCCGCTCCTCCTGGATCTGTCTGTAGGTCTCCCCGATGTGCATCAGCAGCTCGCCGACAGGTTTCTTCAGGAGTCCTAGAGAGAAGAGCCGAGAATGCAGCCCCTCCACCGAATCGCAGCAAACAGGGGCCCGGCACTCAGCACCGGCCAGCCCCATCCCTGGACTGATCCCAGGACCCGCCAAGGGAGAGACACTGGGGAGAGAGTGAACGGGCAGGCACCATGCGCTCAGCCCAAGTCCGTCACTGGACGGGCGCAGGGGGAGAACACGCCCGGCAACAGGGCCTGGGTGCCGGGTGGGCCCGGCGGGCGCCCATCCTCTCTGCTCACTGCTGAGGGCCTCCTGCTGCCTCTTCCACAGGGCCAGGTTGCGCTGCCAGTTTTTCATGAAGTTGTGCTGAGGCGGTGGGGCCCAGGGAGGTGGCTTCTCCTCTTTGGGGGCTTCCTGCTTCGGCTCTTCTGCAGCTGAGTCGAGGGTCATCAGACAGGGCGGGGTGTGGATCAGCTCAGCCAGCTGAAAAGCACAAGGTGCGTGTGGAGGGTGGTGAGAGGCCCTGCGCTGGGGCTGAGCCGACACCTCTCTAGGCCTAAGTCCCTGCTGTCCGCCCCACTCTGCTGAGGATCCCGCCTCTTCAGGAGCCGAAGGTTGTGAGGGACAGAAAACAGGTCCCAGAACCAGGGGGGCCTTGGAAACGGCTGCCAGTCTCCTCCCCCCAGAATGGGGACCTCGCGCTGAGGCTGTGTCCCAAAGCTTTCCGTGTGTCTGTCTTCCGACTGATGCTCACGGACACCCGCCCCTGCAGGGTGACTGAGTCCTTTTTAGATGACCCGCTAGCCCCTGACCAATGAGATTCTTAGTTGGGAACCAGGGAAGCGAAGGAACCGAGACAGCGAGCAGCACCGCATGCTGGGAAAGTCAGACACACGCAGGCCCTTTGTGTGGCCCTGGAGCTGTGGACGGAGGAGCACAGGCCAGTGTTTGGAGCAGGGAAAACGGAGCCGGTGCACAGAGGAGCAGGAGGCGGTTAGGGAGCACAGGCCCAGAACCCTGATGCCTTTCTGGCTTCAGTCTAACCAAGCCAGGCGCGCCATTGCCTCTGAGTTCCCCGCGGCACCACTGTGTCCTTCGAGTGACTTCCTGACTTGGGCTGAAGCTCGGGGGGGAGGGTCACTTATCACTTCAAACTCCGGGGCCCAGACACTAGACCAGCCGTGGGCAAACTACGGCCCGTGGGCCAGATCCGGCCGTTTGAAATGAATAAAACTAAAAAAAAAAAAAGACCGTACCCTTTTATGTAATGATGTTTACTTTGAATTTATATTAGTTCACACAAACACTCCATCCATGCTTTTGTTCCGGCCCTCCAGTCCAGTTTAAGAACCCATTGTGGCCCTCGAGTCAAAAAGTTTGCCCACCCCTGCACTAGACTGTCTTTTTAACCCCAGGCCTGCCTGGCTCTGCCAGGTGTGAGACTGGAATGGATTCGGTGACCTTTCCCGTCCAGGCAGCTCTGTACAAACGAACCTCCATGTTCCCTTGAGCAACTGCAATTCTCCTGAAGTCGTGGAGACTCCCCAGGATATGGTGGGGCAGGATCTGGTCGCCGCTATAGAAACTCTCACGGGGGCCTGGGGAGAGGGGAGAGGAGGGGAAAGACAAGCTGCAGGGAGCGGATGTAAATGATTCCCGGGGGCCACTTTCTGACGGAGACCTTCCCCCCTCCGCTTTCTTTCAAGGCTGACCCACGAACTCAGAGACCGGCAGCGCCGGGGCCGGGGGCCGGACCGGACCTACCGGAGTAGTCCAGGGGCCTCGTGGTGGCATCTGGAGTGGCAGGGTGGGCTACAAAGTGGCGGACCTTCCTCCTAGGATCCTTGGGTTTGACTTTACGGATGAGAAATTTCTGGGTAATGTCAGATTTATCTGCTGTTTCAATAAAGCGAGGAATGTGTTGCTATAAAGAAACAAAACAGAGGAGAATTCCACTTGAGATCGGGAGGAGGAAACACACCCCCATCGCCTCTGTCCGAAGTCTTTGTGGAATTCCTGAAGGCGGACAAATCTGTTTCTCCCGCTCTGTCCATATGCTCTGTCGAGGAAAACGCCTCTGCAACAGACAAGAGACTTAATAATGTCTTCGAGGGGGAAAATAACATTTTATGCCCTGGCTGGGTGGTTCAGTTGGTTGAGCGTTGTCCCGTACACCTAAAGGTTGTGGGTTCGATTCCAGGTCAGGGCACATACCTAGGTTGCAGGTTTGATCCCCATTAGGGCATGTAGGAGAAGCAACCGACTGATGTTTTTCTCTCTCTCTCCCCCTTCTTCTCTCTCTAAAATACATACATACATACATACATAAATAAACAAACATATCCTCTGGTTAGGATTTAAAAAAAACAAACAAAAACATTTTATGCCTCCAGACCAGTGGTTCTCAACCTTCCTCATGCCGCGACCCTTTAATACAGTTCCTCAAGTTGTGGTGACCCCCAACCATAAAATTATTTTCGTTGCTACTTCATAACTCTAATGTTGCTACTGTTATGAATCGTCATGTAAATATCTGATATGCATGATGTATTTACAATGTTACAAATTGAACATAATTAAAGCATAGTGATGAATCACAAAAACAATATGTAATTATATATGTGTTTTCCGATGGTCTTAGGCGACCCCTGTGAAAGGGTCGTTCGACCCCCAAAGGGGTCGCGACCCACAGGTTGAGAACCGCTGCTCCAGACAGTTCAGGTGAGAAGTGCCCGATTCTTTCAGGTAAAGCCTGGGGTTAGGGAGTAGCAGGTTTACCCGAATTTATGACTTTGCTCCTTAAATTCATTTTCCTGTCTGTGAAATGGGGATGATGGCTCTTGGCTCCATGGGGAGCAAGACACCTCATTCTCTCGTTCCCCTGCGGTTCTATATGACTCTCAGGAATGCTCAGATAAACACGGTACATTCCTTTAGCTGCAGAAGTGGAAAGAGCGTAGGACCAGTGGATTTTTCCATGGAATCAGACCCGCCCTATGAGGAGGGAGGCGGTGGAGAGGGTGGACATGGTTGATGTTCTAGAACACACAGGCTGGGAGAGAAGAGCTCTTGCAGGAAGGGCTCCCTGGATTGCATCCTTACCTTCTTCAAGTTTTCCGTCTTAATGGCCAAGGCCAGAATGTCATCTCCTTGTAGGACATTGCTAACAGGCTCGGGTTCTTCCTGAATGGGGGGTGTGGACTGTTCAGGGACCTTTGCCCGCTGCTTCTTTTCTGAAGAGAAACAGAAGGTTACAAATGCTTCTAGATAGATATCCTCTAATAAAAGGCTAATGTGCAAATCGGAATGGCGGAAGAATGACCGGTTGCTATGATGCACACTGACCACCGGGGGCCGATGCTCAATGCAGGAGCTGCCCCCTGGTGGTCAGTGCGCTCCCACAGGGGGAGCGCTGCTCAGCCAGAAGCCCTGAGCTGGGCTCACAGGGAGCGGGCCTAAGCCATTAGTTGGACATCTCCCAAGGGCTCCCGGACTGTGAGAGGGCACAGGCCGGGCTGAGGGGCACCCCACCCCCCACCCAAGTGCACGAATTTCATGCACCGGGCCTCTAGTACTACTATATTAGGCCCCAAAGCGGGGAGGCAGAGCTGGCCACAGGCAGCAGAGGCTGCCAGGGAGACTGGGCTGCATTTGCCTGGGGCAGTGGGAGTTCTTTCTCGAAGGCTCCCCTACCCATGGCCCTTGGCCTGCCTCACTGACTGAGGCTTCTTAGCTGGAATTGACATCAAAAGATGTCCTCATCCCCCCCCCGCCCACCAGGCTGTGCTACTTATAAGCTGGACAACCTTGGGTACATCACTTAACCTCTCTTGGCCTCGAGTCTTCCTTTCTGTAAAAAGAGGAAGCTAGACTCTAAATTAGTGGTTCCCAAACATTAGTCCAATGTCTTCCTCCGAATCTTCAGGTAAATTTTACAACTACAGCTTCCTGGCTCCTGCATGGAGCCAGGGCCTGGGGAGCTGGTTTTATAAAATTCTGTAGGTGGCTCAGCACCTGGGCTAGATGCTGTCTCAGCCTCCTCCACTGCTAGCACTGATCCATTCTCATGGGTGAAGGCATTAGCTTTCTTTTTTTAATCCTCACCCAAGGATATTTTTCTATTGATTTTTAGAGAGAGAGCGGAAGAGAGAGGGAAAGACAGAGAGAAATATTGATGTAAGAGAAACACATCGATTAGTTGCCTCCTACAGGAGCCCCGACCAGGACCTGGGCCGGGGAGGAGCCTGCAACCGAGGTATGTGCCCTTGACTGGAATCAAATCCAGGACCCTTCAGTCCACAGGCCGACGCTCTATCCACTGGGCCAAACTGGCGAGGGCGGCATCAGCCTTCTTTAAGGCATTGGTTAAAACACCGATGCTCTGGGGGGAACAGAACATCCATGGCTGACCATTTAATACATACTGTTTAAGTATTTTCTATGTGCCAGGCTCTCAGAATATAAGGCTTCAAAGAGTACACACCCGTGAAGACAAGGCTGTCAGGCTGAAACTATGGGAGCAGCCAGGGGGTCCCCATCCAATTCTGGAGGTAGTCAAGGAGGGCTTCCTAATGAGGTGACGTTTAAATGGAGAAATGGAGGGTGACGAGAACATAGACCAGGGGAAGGGCCTGGGGACCAGGCAGTCTACAGGAACTAGCAGAAAGAGGCCTAGAGGCAAGAGAGAATGGAGCACCTCTGGAACGCAAAGCATGTTTTTAAAATCGCTGGAGGGTATCGAGGGGGGAGGGAGGAAGACATGCCTGGAGAGGGACGTAGGAGCCATATCACGAAGAGTTTAGTGAGCCGTGTAAAGGACCTCGCCCCGGGGGGTCATGACGTAGCAAGGAATGGATTAGGGCAGTGGTTCTCAACCTTCCTAATGCCGCGACCCTTTAATACAGTTCCTCATGTTGTGGTGACCCCCAACCATAAAATTATTTTCGTTGATCAGTGGTTCTCAACCTTCTGGCCCTTTAAATACAGTTCCTCATGTTGTGACCCAACCATAAAATTATTTTCGTTGCTACTTCATAACTGTAATGTTGCTACTGTTATGAGTCGTCATGTAAATATCTGATATGCAGGACGTATTTTCATTGTTACAAATTGAACATAATTAAAGCATAGTGATTAATCACAAAAACAATATGTAATTATATATGTGTTTTCCGATGGTCTTAGGCGACCCCAAAGGGGTCGAGACCCACAGGTTTTTGAGAGCCGCTGGATTAGGGGGTGCAAAACCGAGGACGAGATTACTTAGGGGTCTACTGCAATCACAGAGCAGTTGATGATGACAGTGGCTCATGGAACTGGAGAGATCTGAGCCTCTTTCTCTCAGGGGCCAGGCCGGAGCCCGGCCTGGAGAACTCATGTCAGAAGCCAGTCATTCTCCAAAGAGGACGCACTCCCTGCCTTCCTCCCACAGAGGTGGGCTAACATGTCACATGCATCTCGTTCCTCTGGCTGGATCCTCCTGTCTGCCGCCCTCTGGTCTAGAATGGTTTGCGGTAAGGCCTTCAGAAAATAATCAAAAGAAAACCTGAGTCCCGACCTCAGGGACTTGAAAACAGAACTGGGTTTTGTCCGCTGCTTCTCCCAGCACTCGCCTTTTTTTAAAAAGGCAATCTTGCTAAAACATCAAAGCCGCTGTTTTGGTTACCAAAGTCAGGGTCTCTTTTTTTAGGAAATGCCCGCATAATTGGTGACAAAGCAGCACACATACAAGAAAACCTAAGCCAGAATCATTCCAAACATAACTCTCAGCTCTGCCCACGGGCCAGAGTCCATCTCCTCGGCCACGGGGTCGGCGGAAACTCGGCAGCGTCGTCAGCTAAACCGCGTGGCTCTGGTCCCACCCGCTGCCACGTGCGGAGGTGCCGCCTTGGGTTTTGATTTACAAAACCTACACAGTCACCAAAGTTTGTGGCAGCCCAAGAGAGAATTGGTACCAACGGAGGGTCTGCTTTTATAAATGTTATGGTGTTACTTCTCTTTTCCAGGACATCTGCTTCCTCTGTCCATCACCTTGGCTGGTTCTATGCCTTCCCAGGGGATTAAACATCTCCACCTCTGTGCTTGTTACTGGGGGGTGTCTAATGATTGTGTTTGAATGTATAAAACGTCACCACTGTTGAAGATTTCTGAAATATGGGGGGTGGGGGCAGCCGGGGAGAGGTCAATGGGGGATAAAGGGGACTTGTGTAATACTTTAAACAATAAGGAATTTTAAAAAAACAGATTTCTGAAATAGTGGAACTCTGGTCAGAGGTTTATCTGAGAAGGTTCTCTTAATATACGGTCAGGAAATGGTGTGTTCTAGTTATACAAAATATTCCAAATTATACGTACATTTTAAACTTTCACTCACCCTGGAAAATATTTACCAAGTACCTTCTAGGAGGTGCTATACAGTATGGAGAAGATGGTTTAAAAAAAAGGTTAAAATATGGTCCCTTCTGCTGAGAAACTGAAAAAGACACCAGACACTCGCACACACGAATCATAGCATAAGGGCCTAAAATTAGTGGCACAGATGATAATGGGGTTGGTTCCATGTCAAAGCAGGAACAGATGGATGTGGCTCATGCAGTTTAGGGCTCTAGCCAGAGGCTCGGGGGAGCAGCTGCAGGGGTCGGAGGGAACTTCACAGGCTAAGTTCGGCCTCGAAGGACAGGAAGGCTTTGCAGGTGGAGCAGCAGGCGGAGGTGTTCCAGGTGGGGTCACAGTTGGAGCCAAGGTGCAGGCGGGGCGGAGTATGGCATTTGTGAGGCGTGGTGACACAGAGGCTTGTGGAGGAGGTGGGAGTGAGACCGGGGACACCAGGCCCTGGCGGCTTTTATAAAGCAAAGCAGAAGCAGCTGCTCATCCTCTCTCGGCAGCAGGGAGGTTTGGTCCAGGAGAATGACATGAAAGCAGCACTTCGGAGTGATTCATCCGGTGAGGGTAAGCCAGGGGGACTCGCGGGGCAGAGGCAAGTTGGGGAGACCAGGGAGGAAGGACAATCCCACTGCGGTCACTTTAGGGCCTGCAGGAAGATGCTGAAGGGTCCAAGTGCGTCTCACGACTGACTGTGTAGACGAGAGGTCTAGCTATTTCCTCTTCTCTGGTCTGGAAACCCAAGCTGAGTGGGGCTCCTGCTGAGTCACACAGCTGATCCTGACGTCAGCCCCCTTGAGTGGGGCAGTCAGGTGATGCCTCTGCTGGGGCTAGACCAGGCCGCCGGAAGCAGGTGCTCAGGTGGAGTAGGGAAGGAGTGGGCAGGGAGAGAGGCTAGCGGCAGAGGGAGGAGAAACCGGGTCTCGATCTTTCTGCTTCTTGTTTTATCTAAATGATGTTATTTTTTTGTGTTGATGACAGTCTTCGGGGAATTCTGACCTCAGGGTTGTGCTGGGGAACCCAGGGAGAGGCTGTCCCTACCGGAGCAGAGCTTTACTTGATGGGAGAGGGGGACCTGGGAGAGTCCCCCGTGCCTTAGCAACAAGACCTGAAAGTCGGAAGGGCTGGGACCTCTACACAGGTTTACAGTCACAATATTTGCTGCTTTTTGCTTATAATTCAGAGACCTTGGAGTAACCTAGCCACAAGATTACAAGATTATACTCGGTTAGCTTCCCCTGAGATATTTAGAGGAACTGAACACTGGCTTTTTCCCCTCCCTCCTCATCCTGGTGCATGTTATTAACCCAAGGGCTATTTAATAAACTCAATTTCCCCTCGTTAAAAATATGCAGTGAAAAATCTGATAAGATCTCCAGAGACTAGGTAAGTGGTAACTAGGAAAGCCCTTGACTGCCCTTGGGAAAGGAGACCAGCTATTCTTCTCTCTTCCTCTCTTAACTGTTAAAAAAGTGCATCACGCCTTAGCCAGTTTGGCTCAGTGGATACAGTGTTGGCCCTCGGACTGAAGGGTCTTGGGTTCGATTCCAGTCAAGGGCAAGTGCCTTGGTTGCAGGCTCCTCCCTGGCCCTGGTCGGGGCTCCTGCCAGGGCCGCCTGCAGGAGGCAACCAATTGATGTGTCTCTCTCACATCAATGTTTCTCTCTCTGTCTCTCCCCACTCTCTTTGAAAATCAACGGAAAAATATCCTCGGGTGAGGATTAACGCAACAACAAAAGATCGTATCGTGAAACAGCATCGCAATGTAGCCTAAATCGGGCTTTCATACTATAAAGAAGCATTAAAGAAAGTCCCACTGAAAATCAGCTAAGCTCCTGTTAGTTTGACTCCACGCCGACGGACCCCTCTCCTCACAGTGGGCTTTCCTGGTCTGACCCACCTGCGCAGGCCCCTCTGGCTCCCTTCCCTCTCCTCCACACTGGCCACCTCTGCCCTGGCCACCAAGGCCATACACGTTCACAGTTCCACACCTCAGCTCACGCTACTCCCTAACCCTGGAGAAGTAAAGTGCTCCTTTCTCTTTTGTTTTTGGTTCGCCAGAAATGACACCTTCTTCAAAAAACCTTTCCTCCTATATCCACTATCCGAGGACTGGGTCAGGTGCTCTAAGCCACCTTAATGCCTACAGGTGCCTGTATTACAGCATTTCTAGTGTCTGGTTACTCCTCCGGGAGGTCACTGGAATTCATTTCTTGAGGGCTGGGGCCACACAGTTAATACCAATACCTTTGTTGCCCAGCACAGTGCCCACACCCATCAGGCCCTCCATAAATGGAAACCGAAAAAAAAGAAAGATGGAAGGGAGGGTGAGTTGCAAACGAGAACATGTCCTTGGGGACCAGTCTGCTGTTAGGCACCCTGGGGCTCTCCCACCCGCACCCAGAGGGTAGCCGCAGAGGCCAGGAAGCTGTCATGTCTAGCGACTGTCTCCAGGTTAAACAAGCGGGCAGGTGTCACTCAGCACCCAGGTAGTGGGGAAAGGTAGTCGGAAATAGAACTAGCCAAGTGAGCATTTCTTGGTTGCTTTCCAGCAGGGCTTCCCCCCCCCCCCCCCCGCAACCCGCCCCGAGAATCCCACTGAGGTTGGTTGTTTGCCCACCTCACATGTTTCTTGCATTCCTCCCTGAATTTCTTTCCCCAAGGGCCCCATGTCCTGTCTCTCCTCGTCTTAAACTTCCCTGGCTCTTCCTCTCCCCCTCCCCTCACCCAGATTCCCCCTTCTGCGTCCCATCCTAAGATATGGTTCCAGGTAGGGGTCTCCCATGCCTTCCTGCCCAAGGCCATCTCTCCAACAATTGATCCCCGAGGCCTCAGCCAATCCCCCACTTCCTATGTCCCCATCCTCAAAGCCCCAGGGCCCTGTGCTCCCTCCCTTGGGGGCGGGAGGGGTTCTCCGCCTTGTTCACCATCTCTTAAGGTATGGAGTACGCCTGGCCCCGTACCCCATTCCCCAGAGAGCTTCACCTCCATCCTGCTGTCACCCCCATCCTCCAGGCCCCGTGTTGTGAATCCCATCCAAGCACCCCTGCCCCTGCCGGCGGCTCCTGAGCGCCCAAGGCAGCCAGCGCCAACCTTTCAAGCTCTCTGCGGCCTCCAAGAATTTGTTTGGAGTTATCCTGTGGCGGGATTCCTTCTTTAGAGACTTCATAGTGTCTGCCGGCCTGAGAGCTTGGTCCTACCCCGCCGGAAC